ACTTTCACCATAGAACTTTTTAAAACATTTATGTTGTTGGCTGCCGAGGCAGAACTTATACTTGGATGTATTTGTTCCTAGAGAAAGTTGCTGAAACATTGGCAGACTGCTAATTAAGTAGCTTGAGATTGTTCTGTCCTTTACCTCTATGCTTCTTTAGGTGTTTGTGCATGTGGAGACTTATTTCCTGAATGCCTAGGAAGCAAATTACAGTGTTTGGTGCAAAGTGGAAGAACCTAAATGCTTTAAGTTCCTGTGACAATAATATTGTCCTACATGCTTCCAATTCTAAAGAAGGCTACTGATTTTTCTTTAATAGCCCGGTGCTATTCTCTTTTATGGCAGCAGGAAAAAAATAGGGTTACGTGGCAGTTTATGTATCCCCTCCTAGATAAGTTGGTTGAAGTGCAGCAATAGGAAAGAACACACAACATACTGGCAGGGTCTCCATTGTCTGTGAAACAACACCAAAATAGCAACAGATCATGTTGTCATTTACCTATGTTTATCTTAAGAAAGCCATTACAATAAACATAGGTGCAAAGCTGTCATGAGTGCAAGCTCAAGAGATGAGAGGGAAAGAAAAGGTGCATTGTGCTATTTCACACTTGGCAGGCATTAGACTAACTTGGGGTGCTCATAGGTTCACCATCATCACTTGAGGTTTAGGAGGCCTTTGGTGGGCACGAGTGCCTTTTCCTAGCTTTGGCAAGTATATCTGCAGCTGTTTCTGATTTGAAATAGCTCAATTACAGTGATTCAGGCATTGGTAACCTCCAGTTTTGTGCCAGTCTAATGCATTCTATGTTAGGCTGCCTTTGCTCTTGGTCAGAAGCTGAAGCTGATGTCGAAAACTTTTAAGGCACTACAAACAGGAATTTATTTTGACATGTTGCACCCCTGCTGAGAACTTCACTGGTTATCAGCAAGTTATTGGTCCAAGCATGAGGTTTTGTCATTAATGTAAAAAGTCCTAAACAGGGGACCTGTTACTGTTGCCTCAAGCTTGTGTCCTCATGGTCTCCATAATACTCAAAAGAAGAACTTTAGGGATCTTTTTAATATTGTTGCAGGACCTGCCCTTTAAATCAGGCAAGCATGTAAAGTATTGATTTTCAAGTACCTGCTTAAAATTTATCTCTTTAAGCAAGTTTTGCCTTGGTTAAGCAACCCAGCAAGTTATAACTAGACTCTTACTATACTATGCAGCAGTAATTATTTCATAGTTAAGCATTTTGATAATTTTATTGAAAACAGTATACAAATCTGTGTAATTAATAATAAACTAGAGAACAGGAGCTCAATAATTCTGCCGTACAGTAGCTTTACAGGGTCTGGGAGTAAAACATTTTGTAGCACACTTGGGAATGTAGCCAATATATAACCCACAAAGCAAGGAAACAACTTCAAAGTGCATTTAAGTGAACACCTCTGATGGTCACTAACAAGAATTTGTCAAGAAGTGATTGATTGCTTTTAGCAGTGAGCACTCTAAGCCTTCCACTTAGTTGTACAAAGTTTGCATAATTCAAATTGTTTCTGATTAATTTCATCAGCATGTAGCTTATTACTTAGATGCAGTTTCTTTCCCACAAAAAAGTGGTATCTGGGGAAGTGACATTGATGTGAGAATTACTTGTATTTATTTTCAGTATCGGTTATTAAAAAGTAATGCCTGCACACCCTTTTCAACTTTATTTCTTAGTTATTTCTTACCAGAAGGTTTTTTTTATAATCATACTGTTATGCCATGCAGATTGATGGAAAAGTTATACTCCACTTTGGCATTGGAGCTATCCAATAGTCTTTTATCTCCTCCTGCTGCTTGGAAGGCAGGGACCTCAGAACTTACTTCTGTTATCCTCTTCTCTGTAGGCTCCTCAGTTCTGCTTTTATAGCACAGTAACTAGTCTGTCTTCTCCTTTTGTTCCTCTATCAGCTTAGGCCATCCTATTTCCCAAGAACCTCTTAGCCCATGTAACTACTCTTCCATCACAGCATTTATTTTCTAGTTCTTGTTAGTTCCCCCTCCCTCCAGATTAAACTATCTTTTATCAGCCTCTTGTTTGCCCCTGATTGTAAGCCATCCGGAGAGGCTATGCATATATAAAAGTTATAAATAAATAAATTAATCTCTTCTTTCCCTCCACCGCTTCCTGTTGGCTTCAGTAGGGAAACACACCCACAAACCTGCTGGTGATGAACAGATCAAGCATATTTGGGTTTTCAGGAAGCATTCTTGAACCACTTCCACAGTTTCAAGGGAACCCCTCAACTCTGAGTCAACCCTCCATGAACCCTTTGAACATGGAAGCAAACTCTTATTTTCTCTGCAACAGATCTCGATTATTCCAGCCATTTCCACAATGGGGAACTTCTTGTTTGCTCAATTTAATGTTATTGTGTTTATCAGATGGTCTGTGCAGCCTCAGTTCATCAAGCAAGGTAAGTATGTGTCAGGGCTGTGTACAGAACAAGCCTCCCACATCCCTGATTTTTTTCAAAAGGAATTTTGTGCAAAAGAAACAAAATTTTGACATTTCTGAGGTGCTGCTAAAAAGAAGAGTTGAACATGTCAGGCCTAAAAAGGAGAAAAGGATCTACAGGATGGTGGACAGTCCTAAAATGATGGCCAAAAGAGTACAGAGAAGCCCTCAAAATGCGTCTGACATTGCTCACCACCAACAGCATTGTTGCACACCCACCCACCCATTTTGCTAGCTGGCCCAGCTAGCACCTCTACATCAACTGCACATTTGATCCTGCTGACAGTCCCAACACTGGTTCTGACACCCATTCCTCCATCAGGATTGATGGAAAGAGCAGAACTGTCCACAGCTCCCTCTTCCTCTGAGGGGGAGATACAAGACAAACGGCCCTGTTCTCCCATCAGCCTGCCACCTCTCCTCTGAGATCAACAAGCTGTTCGCAGCAGGACCAACAACAACCACTGCCTCTCTGAACTGCTAGACTGCCATACAGAACCATCTCCCCAGCGGTGCCCTAAGGCTCCATTCATCAGCTGACAGAATGGCCTAGGCCCATACCAGTTGCCTGAGACCAGGAAGCATATTGGGCTCTGCTGCCACCAACAGACTGGTACCTTGGCTCACGAACTCTGGTCGCAACTCAAATTGGTCGTGAGCAAAATCACATTTTCCCGTAAGGTTCAGTGTAAATAAAGTTAATCCATTCTGTAACTATTTTTTTTATCACAAAAATTTGAAGCAAAGTGACAAGAGCAACAAAGACCGCAGACATCTCCCCCCCCCCACCGCCTGCCAGCATGACCGCAATCGCACCCGTGTTCCCTGCACAAGCGTGGCCTTAGACAGGCGCGATTGCAGGCGTGCTTAAGGGGGAGAAGGGCGAGATCGTGATTGTCACCCAATGTGGAGTTCACGACCTGAGTAAAAGTTTTTCTTAAATTTTTGCTCATGACCCGATTTGGTCATGAACTGAGGCGTTTATGAGCCGAGGTACCACTGTATTACCCTGGCTACACCTGGGAATGAAGACTGTAGGAACCACATTTTTACCAGTAGGAACCAACTGCATATCAACAGGAGGAACCATGGGCACAGGTTCCACCAATTATCCCACTGGTTCCTGCCAACCTGTCACCAACCTATCACTAAGCAGAAGTTCTTTCTTTTCAGTCACCTGTGTCTATTCAATTACTACCCACCTTTTGACAGCCTGCACTGCTTTAACAACCATCTTCACTGTCCAGTGACTCTTTATCTTCCAACCCTGCTGACTATGCCTCCAAGTCAGACCTGCTGCCATTTTATGATGACCCAGTATCGACATCACCAGAGGACATAATTTCAGGGCGAGGTCTACAATCTCCCTCCAAAAACCTGGGAAAATTCTCCAAACAGTTCCTCCAAAGGGCAATGTCCCTCAGTCTACAACATAAAGGAACTATTGGGCTTTTTACACACATGTTTGAATTTGAGCCACGAGACCAGTGCCTTGGAACACTAAGCCTTTATGCTTTCCTCAGTGCTGATCAGACTAGGATCCCATCAACTTCTTAATAGAAGAGCATTTCTGACCAAACTTCTAAAAATACATGGGTTTTTATTTTGAGACTGCCATAATCTTTGAGCTTTCATTGTCTGAGCCATCTTTTAAGCCACTTCTATCTGTCACTTTGATTCCTTTCCCTCAGAAATGGCATTTCTGGTTGCCATGTTGGCCAGAAGCGTGTTGGAACATAGTACCCTATCAATTAGCACAGTAATTCTAGAATAGCCCCTTTGTTTGTCCCAAAGTCTGCTCTGTATTTCACACATCTAAGGAGCTGATTCTTCCCTCCTTATGCCCCAGGTTTAGCTGCCATTCAGAGCATGCTTGGCACAGACCAGACATTGAAAACATGTTCACTACAAAAACAACAGTCATTTGGACGTACAGCCTATTCCATCCTTCCACCACACCTCCATGGAAAGAAAGTATTCAATTCTGCAATAACACATTGGATAGGTGCCTGTACTTTTCATGTTTACAAACTTCAGTAGCTTGCCACTCCCGTGTGTGTACCAGGCATTATAGTGTTACAGTAGATGATGTGTGAGATGTACTTGCTCAGCCATAAAACTTGCAGGGTAGCCAGCTTCAGGCAACTCAATTTTTTTTAAAGAGGAATAATCTTTGTGTAGGAAGGATTCTGTACAGATCTGGGCATGAGGCCTTTGCAATATGAATACAAATTACCATTTTTAGGATAAATCATTATTTCTTCAGGAACAAGTCTGCAATACATCCCAATATGGTAGATCGAAGCAAGCGCTAAAAGTGCAATCTGTATAATATGTTGCCTTAATTGAAACAACTGTCTTGAGTTCTGAAGCACAGAACTACTCTATAAGATCACTTTAATCATTGTTCATTCTGCCAGCCGTTACACCAAAATGACACTGCTCTGCATACAAAACAATGAGTCTTCTACAGATTGTATTAATAGAGCTAATGACATCTGTTTTCTCTTTCAGCTGTGAAAGAATCTTTGCCGTCAGATCTACAAACAAGAAAAGAAAGAGATGTTTCAAATGAGCCTCGACAGAAGCTGAGAATATTTTATCAGGTATTGACAATCTAATGCTTGTTGCTTGCAGTAGCTCAAGGTGGCTGATGTTTCCAAGTGTTTTCCAGTCTACACAGAAAGGAAGCAACAATCACTATAAATCCACCTTCAATTGTTTTTCAGTGGCTAGATCAGTGATAAAGGGACTTGGACAGGACCAGGAAGAATCCCTGGCTTTTCTCATTTGCTGGCACCCCCTGGATGCCATGTGAAACTACATGACTTGTGCCAGGGAGAGCAGCCACCTTTCCTGTGCTAAGAGCAGCAGCTTTTAACTAGTCCACATAGCTTAATCAGATGTCCATGGATGTACTGGCTTGTGTACAAAGCCAAGGACTCCACCTGCGACTGCTCCTCTGGGTCCTGAGTCCCTTTCTCCTAGTTGGAAGCGTCATGCTTCATACCAAAGAATGAAGGGGTGATGTCAAGGGCAGGTCACACCACTTGATGCCATGTGGACTGCAGTGGGGCTGGTGGGGGGGGCACCTGTTTCCAAATTCTGGGGTAGACTGTGTGTTCCACATGTTAAGTGAGCTATGCTTGTTGTCATTAATATCTAATATGGGTCTCTGTTGCTAGAGTTTAAAGGTGCTTAAGTGCTGGAAGAACATACACTGATTCTAAAATATTAATTTGAACAAAAGGTGTATGGATTTCTCTTTAATTTTGCTTTTAAGGCAATATGCTTTGTATTAATACAAACTGTTTTTACTAGTTTCTTTATAATAACAACACAAGGCAGCAGACTGAAGCAAGAGATGACTTGCATTGTCCATGGTGCACATTGAACTGTCGCAAGCTTTACAGCTTGCTTAAACATCTCAAGCTTTGTCACAGCCGCTTTATTTTCAATTATGTGGTAAGTATTTTTCTTTATAAAATCTTGGAATAAAATTCTGTATTATGGTATTGCCTGGTGGAAGACTCATTGCAAAATGTAAAGTGAAAGAAATTTGGTACTTTCAAGACAGGCTAATAGAGTGCAGCTAAAATATCAAACATGCATAACAATGTTTTTGTCATTTCTTAATGTATCTGATAGTTCAAAATAGATTAATGAAGGCTGAAAGTGGGCTTGTAGTCTGAGTGTGACATGATTGAAAATATTCTTTTAAATTCTGTTAGCAACATTACTTATCTATCTTGCAGTCTCAGTATCCCCAGTTTTAGCTAAATAGGTGAGGAATCACAAAGTAGAGTTTGAGTAATCCAATGTTCTTTTCTGGGCTACCTGCAGTTAATTTACTTATGGTGCTAAATATTTATTTATTTCAGTATCATCCAAAAGGTGCTAGGATAGATGTTTCTATCAATGAGTGTTATGATGGCTCCTATGCAGGAAATCCTCAGGATATTCATCGTCAACCTGGGTTTGCCTTCAGTCGTAATGGACCAGTCAAGCGAACTCCAATTACACACATCCTTGTATGCAGGTCAGTGGAAATCATTGCATTTCCTACCTGTAAGATCATACAATTACTCCATTAGCTTCCTGATCTCCATGATTCTTCCTGTTAAAGCATAAAAAGCAAAAAAAATGCCTTCCACTTTTTATATACATGTATTATAGTGGAATATTTCATTTAAAGTAATGTGCCTCTTGTAAAACAAAGCCAGTGGCAGTGATTCATCTGGGAACTACTTGCCTTCATTTTGTTTGAACTAACGTAGGCCAGTAGAGTCCCTAGCCTACTAGCCTACCTTCAGATTCTTCTTTAGCAAAGTATTCTCATTATGTCAGGATTTCTAACATGACCGTATCTAAATAAAGCAAGCAAACAAAGCAAAATTAAATTTAGGATAATCAGCAAAAGATATTTGTGTGGTTGTGTTTTAATCTTTGCATATTATCAAAACCTTAGTTTGTTGCCTTTTGACTAGGGGGTCTTCAACCTTTCATTGGCCTTGGTAGTGAAGCAGGGAAAAAAACCCTAGCTGCTTTGCCTCTTCTTTGGTTACACTGATTTGGCCAAGCAGTGGTCAAGGGAGGTGTGGAGTTTTTTCATCTGGTGAAGTGGAAACCAAGTCAAATAAGCTAAGTGGAAATTGTGAAAGCCCCCCAAAGAAGGCACAGAACTTGTCCACTGAAATTGCAAAGCAACCAAACAACAATCGGCCTCCCACCTTTGTCAGGTGGAAGAATCCTAGACTAGGGACTCACAGAGCTGCTAAGAGGATTCCAGTCCATCTCTGCAAATCCAAGGCTGGGAAGGGCACTGTGAATTATCATGCTTGTTACGATGATAGTGAAATTCTTGAACTATTGCACTCTATTCAATAGAAAATCATCTTCAACATTTACATTCCCTTACTTCAGAGATGCAGTGGAAGCAATATAGTCTTTTACCAAGTATCTTCTTATGCGAAAATTTGCTTAATTGACAGTATTGAAGGAAATTGTCCTATCTAGTAAATAACTGAAATGAATGCTACCATATAATGATTGGAATGTTATTGCCTTAAACCGCAGGGGCTTGAAAACTAAATGAAAGTTTTCTATCCTTTCTCTGGAATGTCAGTACTAGTTTCATTGTGATGCTTGTGATATTTTTACTTCATTTATACAGAAGGTGTACTCACTTTGCATCCTGATTGAGGATCAGGCTTAGTTGAGATGTAGGTGGCATTATGCCATACAGAGGTAGAACGATGTCCAGACTCTAACTGTTCTGGGTTCTAGAAATAGTTCAAGATTTGTATCATGACACTAAAATCTCTTGATTATTGTATGTTAGGGGTTTTTTCATGAATTTTTATGGTAAATGTAATCACAGTCTGCATGTGTTGCTGCTGGGCAGCAAATGTAGGATCAGAGGGCTGCCACTTATCCAATCTTAGAAGTGGATCTTGTAGATTCCGTCTGGTTGTATAATGTTACAACTTTGCTATCAGGATGTCTGTATGCTTGTTAGAAAGTATGCATACTTTCTTTTCCAGACCAAAGCGTACAAAAGCCAGCATGTCAGAGTTTCTTGAATCTGAAGATGGAGAAGTGGAACAGCAACGAACATACAGCAGTGGACATAATCGGTTATACTTTCACAGCGATACCTGCCTACCTCTCCGTCCACAAGAAATGGAAGTTGACAGTGAAGATGAAAAGGATCCTGAGTGGCTAAGGGAGAAAACTATAACGGTAATTATGGCATATAGCCAGTGAATCTGTGAGGATCCCCTTGCAAATAGTCTTTGTTCTGCTGAACAATATTTCTACTTTCTGTGGCCCAAATCTTAATAATGGGCATTCCTCTGAGGCATCTTAGACAAGTCAGATAGAGACAGTAAGATAATTAGTGCATATGGGTTTTTGCAGTTGCTGTGGAAAATAGCAAACTTCTGGTAAAAAAGAGAAAACTTGGGTTGACACTGTGGTAGAGAGCAGTTGCTATGACATGTCAATGTCAATTGCTAGCAAGTGTTTATAAACATTTTCAGATTTTGGAATGATTTATTTAAAACTTTTCTATAGTGCCCCTTAACAGACGTCTCGGGACAGTTTACAATTTAATTCCTGTACAAATATAACATTCTAATATAACCTCCACTTGCCACTGTTATAAGAAAGAATTCATCACTTGGCCAATATTAGAATATTAATCCTGAGAATGGGCTGGTCTGACCCATTCCTAAAACACTTAAATCCCCCTAAGCAGTGTAGAATCCTTAAGGAACCAGCTTGTGCCCTGTATCTTCCATATTAACTCATGGAAATAACCAGTTCAAGGAGTGAAGTGAGTTTTACTCCTCTTGCCATGAGGAAAAGGTAACACTCTCTTCAGAAATACTCTTGTTTACATGTAAACACTTCAGTGTGATTGTGGATGTAAGGGCCCCTCTCTGTTTCCTCTTTCCCTACCCCAGTATTTCTTTTCCTTAAAAGCTTATCTCATTCTGTTGCCTTCCGTTCTAGTTGCATTGTTCTGGACCAATAGCAATATTGTGCTATGCAGAACAATTATGTTAGTAATAGGCAAATAAATGGGACAGCATGCTAAGTAATTGCCACATGAAAATACTATGTATTAACAAGCACACAATGGTTTTCTTAATGCAGCAAATTGAAGAGTTTTCTGATGTTAATGAAGGAGAAAAAGAAGTGATGAAATTATGGAATCTGCATGTTATGAAGCACGGGTATGTTCTTAAAACATTCTTTGCATCAAAATTAATGGGATCACCTGCACTTGCTGAAAGCTAGAAATTATTCATATGCTGATTGAAACCTCCTGGGGAGTGGGGGGGGGGAAACACTTAGCCTGAACACAAGTCTTTCAAATATAGATTTGCCTTGCCTTTGTCTGGGGTCAAAAATAACCCCAAGTGCAAGTAAGGAATATTTTGTTGAGGCAGGATTAAGCTTAAGGTTTGAGTTTACATTGAGTCTATGCATAACAGTACAATCTGGAAGGCACTGTTTAACTTCCTGACCTTTCCTCTGCAAAATAGTTTGGCCTACAAACTTTGAAAAGAAAATTTAAAATCTTCCAATAAATTTTAATTATTTTATTCCAGAGGTTTTAGCTTAGAATCTTTAAAGAAAACCTTAAGATGGCTTATTCAGTCTTCTGTTGTTTCTTTGTTTAGGGCTTAAAACAATTCTTACACAGATATGGGTGGGACCCTTTGTGTCCAGAGCATATTTTGGTTTGTAGAAAAAAACTAAAAGGCAGGAGGCTGAAATTTGGATCCTTTATGACTTAGGTAGTTTGTGACTATGTCCTAGGAGGACTACATTCTAGACTTATGTATAAATTATACTACACTTTGTGAGCTAAGAAGATTCCAGAGCCCCCAAGATGGAAGATAAAGATACAAATAAAGCAGTTTTGATTCAAATGTTTTGATTCAAATGTTTTGATTCAAATGTTGCAGTCTGTATTGTTTCAGTGTGCCTTTCCTACATTTGAAGTACTGAAAATTTAAAGCACATATGTAGGAATTCTGTGTAGACAAGTAATATGCAGGAGCATGTCTAAATAGGACACTGAAAGAAACTGGCATTCCTCCAGAACTTAAGAAATCCAAACTTTGATCATACAGCACCATCTGTGCATCCAAATGTGTAACAATAATTTGTATTTTTAATTTTAACAGGTTTATTGCAGACAATCAAATGAATCATGCCTGTATGCTGTTTGTTGAAAATTATGGACACAAAATAATCAAGAAGAACTTATGTCGAAACTTCATGCTTCATCTGGTCAGCATGCATGACTTTAATCTTATAAGCATAATGTCAATAGACAAAGCTGTTACTAAGCTTCGAGAAATGCAACAGAAATTAGAAAAAGGAGAGTCAACTGTTGTCACAGCATCAGAGGAGCTTTCTGAAGAACACTCTGGGACAACAAATGGCTGCATTGAAGCTAACACTAGAGAGAGATCTTCAGAAATGGATAGTACATCATGCATGACAAAACAGAATAGAAAACAGAAGATTTAGAAAGAAAAGCAAAGGCCATTCATGCAGTGGACAAATATTGAAGTGACTTTGTAAGATGCATGAACTCTGTAAGGAATTTAAGATATACAGGTTTCTAACAGGCACTGCTGGAAGCAAAGGATTTCAACAATGATAGTGTTAATATGGTTCCTATTGAGTTAATTATGCAAGTACTACATGTATATCAGTTCTAGTGATGTAATGACAATACTCAAAGTTTGAGCATGAAGAGCAATACAATTTTTGGGAATTTTAATTATGAATTGTACTGAATTTACATAACTTAAGTATATGTAAACCAGTTTTTATATAAAGTTTTTGCATCTGTATTGGCTGTCTTTCCTACTATGGAGTTAAAAATTAGGGAAGGGATTGGGACAGTTTATGCTTTGTACTTAGAAATTCTTTGGGTTAACTTTTTGTGGGAATAATGCACCATTTAAAGTTCAACTTGATCTTTTTTGTTTTTATTAATACCTGTCAAACTACAGAAAGCAAATTTTAAAGCACATTTTAAAACATTCAGCTGAAACAGCACTTCTTTGTCTCATGTCTGTTTGGGGAAAAATTCATCACTTTTCTCATCACAAACACAGAAGTACCATCTTAATTGTGACAGCATAATAGAATTTGTAGATAACTCTGATCATCTGGTATACTAGATCAAACCTTTAACCTACTTAAGCAGAACCATTTCGGATTACATAATGGCATGCTGTGTTAACACCTAGAAGCTGTAGTGAGCAGTGCCTGAATCTGTGCCTGTTTTTGCCTGTGAACAGACTGCAAGATCAAAGAATGGAGTTAACTTGGGATTTCTGGATGCTACTTTTGAGGGGAAATGCACTGTAAAATTGGGCCAGAAAATGTGTTGCACTTCTTAGGCAAGTATTCTGTCATGTATTGCATTCAATACAGATGCTAACTAGTCTTGTGCAGTCTTGCACTGCTGTTAACACATTTTAAGCATATGTTTACAGATTTTCTTTTTTCCAATGGAAAGTAGTTTCACTACTGGTACAGTATCAGCACCACGGGTTTATTCCAGCAAGCACTGTGGTTGAGTGACATCACCTCATTTTTTAATTCTTAAATAGTTCATTTTCATAATCTTTATTTATAAAGGATCAATTATGTAAATACAGGAATTTCTAATTTTTTATTTCATTCCACCATCATAAGAAGGCAGTTCCCTATTTGGGTTTTTTGTCTGCAGGTGGGGGGAAAGCTTTCTAATGGGGGTTTTCAGAAATTTATAAAATGTAAATACTGACTTTGGTCCCTAAAGATGTGTTTAACTGTGAGACTATTTAACTAATGGTGTGGATGTGATTTGTCATCCAGTATTAAGTTCTTAGTCATGGATTTGTGTCAATAGGAAAGAGGGAGACTACAGCTATCATTAGACTGTTTGATTTGCCTGCTCTGAGTTGTAGCAAATTCTTAATTACATCTTTCAATAGCTGGTCAAGCATTTCTCTTGGGCTTTAATTTGCTAAAGCTGTGCACATATGTAAAAAATATATTTTAGGAGAGACTTAGTTCTAGAACTATTGCTTTTGTCACTTCTTAAGCAGTCATGCTCTTAATGCTTAAAAGGAGGCTAGCATTGTTTGCACAAAAAGTTGGTGACCCCCCCAAAATAGTAATGAAATTACTTCTGTCCAGTAAACTTTGTATGTCATGTCCATTTATAATAAAATCTGAGAATCCCTTTGTTTCTATTTATAATAAAGATGGATTTTCTATATGTACTCTTAAGGAGACTTTGAAGAAATCATGTAAACTGGGTGAAACTTTGAATGGTACAGTAGATAAAGAGACAATTGTTTAATGGACCTTTTCATTTTTACATTAAATGTTTATTTGAAATTGGATTTTGTACATAAAGTTCAATAATATAAAATCTGTCAAAGTGTGGAGTTTAATCTTTTCATGTGCATTTAGAGTAGTATTTTATATAAACTGTGTGATCCAGATCAATACCAGAAATACTTAGTTCTGAAAACAGAACTTATAACATGTCTGCATTTGGAAGATGTACTGTCATCTTAAAACTGACAAAAGTTTTGATGCACATGTTTGGTCATTGTTACTATATTTTTCTTCTAAAATGAGAATTTGTTTAATTGGGCTTACCTACCCTACCCGCCTCTGTTAAGCAAAAGACTGGTAAAAGCAATGCTTTTTTTGCTACAATGGAGGAAAGTATTTTTGTGTGAGTTGTTCCTTCCACTCATTTTAGAAGGCAGAAGGACGTTAACTGGCATTTCAGAAATACCAGCAGTGGGAGAGAGCCCTTTCCATTTCTGGCTCTGCCGATTTCTGGCTTGTTCTGGTTTCAACAAATGTAAACTTGTAGGTTTACATTTATCTTGTCTGTCTATAGGCAAGTATTAGCATGAGAGGTGAAAGCCTCACTGATCTGGCTCTCCTAGCAATGCAATAGAGAATGAGGCTGTGGGATCTGTGAAAAACAGGTGCAAGCCTGCAAGAATGAAGCATACGCTTTCAGGAGGGTGGAATACAAGAGTGATGATTGATGGGAGAAGATAAAAAGTAGCTGGAGTAGAATAGAACCCAGTCCAGACAGAATGCATGCAGAATGCATGCAGGGAGAAGTCAACTCCAGGATGAATTGGCTTATCTGACAGGATGTAAGTGGAAATGGAGCCTGAACCACAGATGTTTAAGGCCATTATGTCTAGACCCATGATACCACTGACAGACTTGTTCACATGCAAGCCAACTACAAACGTGACGTTACTTTGCACGTTCCAGGCCAAAGGTGCCCAGTGCACGAATGCCTTCACAATTCCCAGCTAAGAGGACTATTACAAGCAGTCCTTCCTGTGGGCCAGACACTTGGAAAAAAGCAGAGCAGACAGTACAGTAACCTTAATACTGTCATATTGGCTCAGAAGAGTAGCATTCTCTGTCCTAGTAGCCGTTTGTCATGAGGCTGGCGCTCCATCCCAACAAAAGCAACGTATGCGGTTTTTGCTACTAAACTCTTTATTCCACACAGAGTTAGCAATTACAATCACGAATAATGATGCTAGTGATGATAATGCAGTAGTCCTCTCTTCCTGAATGGGATCAGCTCAAGAAATACTTTTAGCTTGCCTGGGCTGTCCCTCGATGGGTGGGTCTGACAAACCTCTCTCTCTCCATCTTCCAACATTCTCGTCTCGAACTGCCCCAATCCGCGTGCGTCTGTGGCAGTGTGCATTTTCTAACAGTCCCTCAAGGTTAACTTCTGTGTTCTCAAGACTTATCTGCAGGTGTCTCGGCCATTCCCTGCAACCTCTAGGCTGGCCTCTGATTGCTGTATGCTTTCGGTTTCTCCCTGAATTCTCCCTCCCCCCCCCCACGCTCTCTTCCCTTTGGAGAGCACCGTCAGGGAGTGCAGGGGGCGTTTAAACTACTGGCACCAAATACATATCTTCCTGTAATGAAGTCTGGTTCTCAGGGGACGTCTCCCTCTCCCCTACGTGCACCAGACTTCTGAGTCAGCACACACGACACCATTCCCCTCAGGAAACCACAGCTGCCACCCATACAAGAAGATCTGCTCAGCCAAGCCCAGGTACAATACACTGATCCAGCATGGCTACAGCGCCAGACCAAGCTACTGAGCTGTAAAAACTAGAAAGCAAAGGATATAACATCACAACCTAGTCATCAGAATCTATGAACTTAGCCAAAAGAGCAGTAACTGGATGAACAATGAAGATTTAATCCATGGGTCCTCAAATTATGGCCCGTGGGACAAATCTGGCCTGCCATGGCCATCCATCTGGCCTGCGCTGCCGTTCACCGCCTGTGCGCACGCTTGCTGCACAGGTGGAGAGGCGGTGGCTCGCTCGAACAACCATCTCCAAGCGAACAAGCCGCCATCGCTGCCTGCCTCCCGCACGTGCTCGCTGCTGCCTCACAGCACGGGCGGGTTGGTGGTGGCTTGCTCGGTCAGAGATGGTTTTGGACTCCCTGGGAGATCTCCGAGCAAGCAAGCCACCACTGCGTGTGCCCGATGGCACCTCTCCAGTCCGCGACAGTCACCGCAGCCTTTCAACTGGCCCCCTATTCAAAAAGTTTGAGGACTCCTGATTTAATCTGACTTACTTCAAGGGGATCCTGTTCCCCTTTCAAACCAGGCTAGACCAAGGTGTGTACCCCACATTTTCAAGAGTCAAGTAGCAGTTCCATCAAAAGGGTAGTGGCAATAGCTAAGTTCACACCCTTCTCCACTCAGTCGGACATAAAAATGCCCCTGAAGGGAGTCATCCTATGTACGTGTACTGATGTCCCATGTGCAGCCTGTACAAATTGCTCAAGACCCCCAAAAATAATTCAAATCTCTGATCAAGATGCCACTCCAGTTTCTCTTGTAATATTCCTAGTAACAAATCTGTCAATACATAGAATATCTAAAATGAACACCTCCATCAGAGAGGAGTTCTCAATCTATCCATATAAGTCAATGGTACTCATATTTTGCATTGACCCAACCTTCACTCAAATTCTACAGATTACAGAAGCAGTTCACAACATTCCGCGTACAACCCTTCTTCATCGTGGCCTCTGTGCATCACACATATGGGTTGCTGTGCCTGCGCAGTGCCTAGGCCAGAAGATTAGAAAGCTAACGGTTTTTGGCGGGAAAACTCCGCTCCCCTCCCGCTTCGTGGTATAAATAGAGCGGAGTGTCCGCCATTTTACTCAGTCTTTGTGACCGCCGTTCGCTGTGCCTTGTGCCTATTCGTCTCTCGCTATAGATCTGTGCCTCTTCGTTGTTTTTTTCTCAAAAACCTTAAAAAAAACCTCTTGCTCCAAGTTTGTTCTTCCCGATTCTGTCCATTTTCTTCTTAAATTCTCTTTTCTTCATTTTTCCGCGATGGCGCAACGGGCGGCATTCCGCAAATGTATTGAATGTGGATCTAAAATATCGCCAGTTGATCCACATGATCTATGCCTCCTCTGCCTCGGCGAGGGGCATAGGACCAACAAATGCGGTCATTGCTTGGCGTTTACCAAGCAGGCACGGAAAAACAGGGAGAATCGTCTCAGGAAGCTCCTTTGGGATCAGGCATTAATGCAGTCTGACCAACTGCTCCTACGGCCTGGTTCCTCTTTGTCCGCGCCTTCTCAGCGCTCTTCCTCCACCATGAGTGCTCCAGCGAAGCGTCCTTCGTCGACCTCTGCCGATCCTCCGCAGCGTCCTTCGGACGAAGGTGCCGCTTCTATGGAGGCTCAGTCACTGCCTTCTCCCCCGGCTAAGAAACGGGAGAAGCACAAGCATACCAGTCTGGATAAACATTCCACCCATAAGAAGTTGAGGAAGGAGAAGGTGGATAAGCCTGCTCGCAAGAGCAAGAAACCTGATTGCCCAAAACACCAGGGCTCAGGTTCATCGGGCTTTTCGGTACCAACGGCCGCCATGGTACCGACCCCCTTGGGACCGGCCCTGCAACTCATTATGCAGGTGATTCCACCGGGATCCCCCAGGTCAACCACTCGGCCTGAGAGCGTGCCTCCCCAGCAACAGGAGGAGCTGCTTCGGGAGTCCATCTCTGATGGTGAGATCAGAGACTCCCTGCCGAGGGATCACTTGCCAACACCTATGCCACCGACTGAACCTCATGTGGCCTCACCATTACCTCCCAGATGTCGCAGCCTTTCATCCGAACATCAAGATGAGAGTTGGTTGATCCCGGGATATGGTGCTCCCCCCGGCTGGGGTGGTTACCAACCATATCCTTATTTTCCTCGGGATCATAGATCACCATCGGTCCCGAGGGACGTACCATCCACCTCCAGGCGTACGGAGACGAGGCGCCCAACCTCCCCTGAAACCTCCTCCTCCTCAAGCAAAAACCGGCCGCGTTACGTGGAAGACTCCAAGGATTTGGAGGTCGACTCCACATCCCCTGATGTGGCTGTCGCATACTAAGGGCCTGCTTCACCCGACGAACCGCATGTCTCTTTCACAGAGCTCATGTCCCGCTTAGTTTGTTCACTTGAAATCGAAGCTCATCAACAGCCAGGTCCCTCCACAGATCGGTTTTATGATGTCGTTCGGGGAGAGCAGTCTGCATCCATAGCTCTGCCACTTATAACTACACTCCACCAGGCTATGGTCCAGCCCTGGGACCAACCGGCCCAACCAAAGCTATCTCCCGCAGATATGAGGCCATGTATAGAGCTCGTGATGATGACATTCCCTTCCTGCTCCGTCACCCAAAACCGAACTCTCTTGTGGTTGAATCCTCCCAGGGCAGGGAGTCCAGGGGACATACCGCTCCTCAGGACAAGGAAGGGAGGAAAATCGATATGCCTGCGTGCCAAGTCTATGTGGTCTCTGGACTCGGTGTGCGGATATTGAACTACGAAGCAACACTGGCACATTACCAGTACTTTATCATGCAGAAGCTGGATAACATCGCTTCCTCCCTTCCAGACCACCAAGCGGACCTTGCCAGGGTTTTCATTAAGGAGGCGATGCAGGTGGCGGTGCAACAGTTGTCTACCGTCGTCATCATGTAGACACCGATTCAAGGGCCCTCGTCAATGCCATCTTGTTACGCCAACATGTGTGGCTGCGCAATTGTAATTTCCCCAGTGAGATGAAGCGCAGAATCGAGGAAATGCCATTTGACGGTACCGGTCTGTTCCACCAGAAGACCGACCGCAAATTAAAGGCGATTCATGGATCACGCCTAACTGCATGCCACATGGAGCTCCCGCAAAAACGTAAGTGGCAGTGGCCTCGGTCTTCCTACAGGAACCAACCATACTATCCGCGCCAGCAAAACTACCCTCGCCAGCAATAACAACGACAGCGTTGGAGACAGCAAACACAACAGCGTTTTTCCCAAGGCCATCGGCGATTCGATACCGATAAGCGCC